CCTCTCCTTTCCTTCCTTCACCATCACACTCCTAAGTGTGGTCAGATATGAGAAGTCTTCTGCATTTATCTTTGTTTACAGGCTGAAGCCGAAAGTAATCTGGGTTTTGATACGGAACTGTATGTACCATCACTGTGTAGTGTGTGTATATGGCCTAGACGAGGTCATCCACTCACACTGCCTGCACCTTAAAATAGGACCTCTGTAAAAGATGTCTGTTTTGTTTTCTCTTTTCCTGTTTCTCAGGGCCACCTTTCCAAATATCCGGGGTAGGGGGAGGTGGCAACACCAGTGTAGGAGGCCTAAAGACAGAACTTAATCTGAACCCACCATTTAATATCCTAGAGGTTTTTTTAGTATTACATTAACAATTAAAAATAGAATAAAATAAAAGATATGAACCCTGAATTCAGCACAGTAGGAACACAATGAAAAGCCCTAAGAGTACGCCTCCTGGCCAGTTCATCTTCCCAGAACAACCAGTGACACTGTCACTGTCACAAACCCCAGGTTTCTCATAGGTCTTTTCACAGATTCTCTGTGTATGTAGACATGTGTAGAGTGTGTGTATATAATAGAAATGAGAACAAAATGTACAGTCAACAGCATCTTGTTTTTATTATACTTCATCCACAATCCAGATATACCTACTTCATTTTTTTAACTTCACTTTTTATTACTTAGAATACTTCTTATTGCATTTTATGGATATGACATAATTCTTCATCCTAGAGGCTAATGGTGTTTGTGTCCTTTCTACTCTTTTGCTGTCATAGGACAAAAATGCTACAGTGAATATCCTTGAACATATCCAAAAACCCCTCATCTGCAATTCCAAAGTCCAAACAGCTAAGGCTGAAAGTCATTTCACTTCTTGGCCTGCTCATCTGGCAGCCAAACCAAATCTGAACTGACGTGGGGCAATTTATAGTCGTTCTTTCTACTACTTAATGTAAATGCCTGTGTCATTTTTGCTGACATATAACTGGATTTGATTACAAACTGTTATCCCAGCTCCCCCTAGAGTTGTTACAAAACATACTGTATCGTATCTACCAACCCAGCTTTCTAAAATCCAGGCAACTTTCAGTTCCTAAGCACATTCAGCACTAAGGGTTTTGTATAAGTGTCGGTATTATGCTTTGTATCTTTAGGACACAACTTCAAAAAGTAGAATTGCTAAAAGTATATGTGTTGTACATTTTGATAGTCAAATTGTTATTCTAAGGAGTAAATGATTTGCATCACAAACAATACTCAATGATAGTCCTTGTTCTCTCACACACAGAACAAAACCTTTTGATGTTTGCTAATATGAAAAGCAAAAGATGAAAACTCATGTTTAGTTTGATTTCACTTTATTGTGGGTGAGATGAAGCATCTTTAAACTTTACTATTGACTGTGCGTGTTCTTTAAATATTGGGTTAATTTCTCAATTGGCTTGCATATGGATCACAAGTATCTTTCCCAGTTTGTATTTTGATTTTTATTTGTAATAATTAGCCATACAAATTTTTTAATAATGTTGATTCATCATTGATACATATGGAATTTCTTTTAGTGTAAGGAATTGTATTGCTGCGGTAAGAAATTGCAATGAATTTAGCATTTTATTTGTTATCTCTCAGTTGCCTAGGTCAGAAGCCCAGCAAAGCCCAACTGGTTTCTGGGCTCAGGGTTTCACACCACTAACACCAAAGCCATGGAGGCTGTGGGTAGACTTTGGTTCCAAGTTCACATGGGCCCTTAGTAGAAACCAGCTCCTGCCAAGGTAGGCCCGAGGTCCCCATTTTCTTGCTATTTATCAGCTGACAGGAGGAAGCATCCTCAGCTTCTAAAGGTGGGCCACCATCCCCGGGCAGGTGGCCAAGGTAGTTTGCTCCTTCACAGTCCACAGGAGAGTATCTGCTGTTGCTTCAAATCTGACTCAATTTCAGCTTCTTCTCTTCTGGTTTTAAGGGTTCATATGATTACATGGGCCCACTTGAACAATCCAGGATAATCTCCCTATCTTGGCTGTGGCATGGCACAGTGCAGTCATGAAACTAACTGATGCTAGGCATAGATTATGGGGACATTTTAATTCTGCCTACCACAGCAATGAAGTAAGGCTCCAAATTATTTTTACCTGGTTACTAACCAGTTGTCCCAACGTTATTTTGAATAAATCACTGATACTATCAATTTATTTGGTTATTTGAAATTTTAATTTCTGGATAACTGAGAAATGTTCATGATTTGAGAAGAACTCAGCCCCTCTCCAACTCCTTTAAGGACAAGAGTTCAGCATTTGACAACTCTAACTCTAGAGGTAAGAACAGTCCTATTCATGGGCAGGACCCATAGGCTCTAGGTGAAAGGTTTGGGGCTCAGTTGCCATTTAAAGAAAAAAAGTCAGTGAATATTCAGGTGTGTGGCTATTCCATACAGGGCTCACCCTGTGGAAATGAAGGGTCATGCTCATTAGAAGCTAATATATATAAATTTTGATTTGTGTTTATACTATTTGGGACGTGTCATTTTTCTGAATCTATTATAGAAATATTGTTCCTTTCCCAGTGTCCTAATTCTTTCCTTCTAGAATGTGTATTAGAAGCATTTTGAGATGTCTCAATCTGTTATCCATATGTTAACTTCTATAGCCTCAAAACCCAACAGTGCCTGGCATACAGTCAAGGCTCAATACATATCTGTGGAAAAAATGAATTATATATTTTGAATCCATCTTGGAAATTAGAATAAATACACTGAATAAAGGAAAAAATCAGCATCTCCCTCAGCTAACTTCTTAGCAGTTTAATCTTCAACCTAGTAGCCAAGCTCACATACAAAAATAGTGAAATCTAGAATTTTTTTCATGACAGGAACCAAATGTTGAGATATATTACTTGGGAATATAGAGGGGGGTACACTACCTGGGAATATAGAAGGGGGCTATGATTTGTTCCCTATTTTGAGGAAATTTATTAAAGTGGCTCAGAATATACGTAAAGCACCAACAGTAGTCCGACATTATCAGTGACCTGGTATCAGGACTTAATTCATGTTTAAAGCCTCCTTTCACAGACTTAACATAGAATACAATTAAATAAGTTTGTGTCAACTGTGCATCAACCAGGACATAATCTCACATTCGGCAAGGTAGTAGTCAGTGGTAGCCATGTTTGATGTCACTGGTCCCGAACCTTTTTAGCACCAGGGATTGGATTCAAGGTGACCCTAACCTGCTTTTCCAGTTCTAGTAAGTTTTGGTAAAATTTTTCAGCAGTGTCTTCATCTAGGTCCATCTGGAAAAGAAGTAAAAGTAGGGATGAATAGAAAGGAAAAATAAGCTGAATAGTATTTGTATAAAAGAAAGGCCTTCAACATATGTAAGAGAACAGAAAACAAAAGAAAAGAGTCTGCAGAAAGGGCCATGGAGGCAGCCACGTGAGGGCTGCCGGGAAACTCTGAGAGCCTGAGGATGCACTGACTGTAGTCCCCTTCCAGCACTCAGCCTACTGATGCCTCTCTTAAGTAGCAGGACTGAACAATCTGAGGTTTGCTATCCTCTCTAACTCCTGTGTATCCAGGAACAGAAGATATCAACTAACTGCGATATAAAAGGACAAAAGCCAAGAGTCTGGTGAATTTCCAGTAGCTAACCACCACCTAACATCTATATTTAGTAAAAGAGTCCTGTTTTCAGTTAGGCTCACCGTCCTCTAGATCAGCGTTTTCAACCTTTTTTTTTTTATCTCGTGGCTCACTTGAACCTAATAGTTAATCTTCCACGGCACACTGAAATTATGTTGATTTAAAAAAAGAGTAAAAGAAAGAATATACTTAGTGTGCTTTGAAATTCTTTCAAAAATAATTTAATGATCTTTAAAATTTGTACAGCACACCTAAGATCCTGTCACAGGACACCATTGTGCCACGGCACACTGGTTGAAAATCATGGCTTTAGATAAGAGACTACATTCTAGGTAAGTAGCCTCCATGGAAGCTACGGGTGCCATGTGACTACATTTTGGCCAGTGAAATGTAGCTACTGCTCCGAGTGTCTTTAAAAGGAGCAGAGTATCCCTTTTTCTCCCTTCTCTATGCTGCTCACTGGAGCCACAAGGATGAGAACCACACCCTGAGGACAGTGGGGCCATGACTGCAAGGAACTGTATGCCTGACAGTTTGTGAAGCTGCCTTGCCAGCCTGACCCTGCCTCTCCCCTCTTTTCACATGTAAGAAATCTAAGATTCTATCTTGTTAAACCCATTATTATTTTACATTGTTGTATTTCATGCCGAAAATCTCATCTCAACTCACACACTGTATGGCAAAGCAAATTTCCAGCCCCAATAAAACAGGGATATATTTTTTCAAGTCAACACAAAGCCTCGCCTTCAAAAGCATGTTCTTCCTTCATAAAACTGAATAGCTAAAACTTAAACTTTTTTTTTTAAACAGGGTTTATCACATAAAAGAAAGAATGAAAGTAAAGAAGGAAGTTACACAAAGTGAAGATGCATTCCAGAGAGACAGGAACCGGTCAGTCTCCAGAGCAGAGAAAGACCCAGAGTCTGAGCCCACCAAGCTCACTAGTTGTCCCACCTTTCTTCTGGCAGGACTGGCTGTTGGTTCTTGCCCTTTGGGGTGGTTGACGGGTTGGGGTTATATACTAGATTCCATTACAGGTTACAAGACAGGGTGGTTATACAGCAGTTTCTCCTTCTACACATACATCTAACATTTTGGAAATAACATTTGTATTCAATCACCTTAGAGTTTTTCTACATTGGAAATGGAAAAAAAATTAAGAGATCTCTTCTAATTCAACCCTGTCTTTTAACAGAGGAGAAAGCTGACTTCTCCAAATTGATCAAAGGGTAAGTCAGGCCAGGTGCAGTGGCTCACACCTATAATCCTAATACTTTGGGTGGACAAGACAGGAGGATCACTTGAGGCCAGGAGTTTGAGACCAGTTAGAGCAAGAGTGAGAGAGACCTTGTCTCTACAAAAATTAAAATGTTATCTGGGCATAGTAGCACATGCCTGTAATCCCAGCTACTTGGGAGGCTGAGGCAGCAGGATTGCTTGAGCCTGGGAATTTGAGGTTGCAGTGAGCTCTGATGATGCCACTGTACCCTAGCCCAGGCAACGGAGTGAGACCCTGTCTCAAAAACAAATGGAAAGAAAAAAGCTACTTTCTTCAATGAATTTCCATAAAATGCTAATGAAATATTTTGCTTTGTAGAATTAAACATGTTTTCCCCTTGATAAACAAATCATTCCCTCTAGACAGTAAGTTCAAATAAACTCTGTGAGCCTAAAGTAAGCTTATTAGTTTACAACAAAATTCCCCCGTTAAGGGCTATGCAGAATTTGAAAACAAAAAATTCACATAAACAAGACCAATTTGGAAACACCAGGATTAAACACTGTGCTCATACTTCTTAACTGTTTAACAGCCTTTATCAGGCTGATATAGGTTATCAAAGTCTTGAACAAGACAGTACAATATGAAACATTACTCAATTTTATATGCCTGAGAAATTACTTCTTGCGTATCTTCTCAAGGAACTAGTATCCCAAGGAACATATTTTGAAAAACCCAGAAGGTCCACTTTTATTAACAGTAAACAGATAGCTGGAGAAGCAGCAAGCACGGTTCCCCTTTGCCTCATGCTGCTGACACACAGACTGAGACCACTGCCACTTCCTCAACTTACCTGAGATCATTTACTAGCCTCAACCTAGTTTCAGTCTATGCCAATACCTCCTCTCGATAGGCTAGTGAAAAATGGGAGGCTGAAACAAACGCTGTTTGTGACAAAAGTATAACAAAATAGTTCTTACAGTTCAAATTAAATTTTCTCATTCTCCAATATGTAACTCTACATTTAATTTTTAGAAGATTATGGATTCCAAAAAGCACAGTACTGATTTTTTTTTTCTGTCCTCTATACCTGCCCTTTCAAAACACCAGTCTATTAAACCTGATCTTTGTCACAACCAGAAATGAATATTCAGAAGTTAACTTCACACCAAAAGATACTTCATGTTTCATCCAACTTACATGTTTACTGAATGGCTGCCATGTACAAGATAATGTGCTAAGGAAGGGGGTAAAATCCTCCTCCTCTTCACAGAGTTTGTATCTGATGAGGATCCCGAGAGTGGACAAGCAGCACAGGGTATAGGTATAAGATGTTAAGAAAGCTTACGACAGAGGCACCTGGCCTGGTCTACAGGGTCACCTGAGGCTGGGCTATTGGCTGATTGGAAGGGTGAGCAGGAATCAATCAGCTGAAGGAAGAGTAAGAACAGCTCAAGTCCAGAGAACAAGATGTTCTCAGAGTCAGGAGAGAACAGGAGGAAATGAGATCGGGCCAGGATGATGCTGGTGCACAGAGTGAAGCCCCAGGGAAGGGAGGCAGGGTGGCTGGTCAGGAGCATAGACCTACCTCATCAACCCCACAGCTAGTATCTTCAAAGTGACAACGCAAGCAGACTTACCCTCTGGGTTGTTACATAATTGCTTCCAAAGCCAGTGGTGGCGCTCATATACTTGATTAAAGGATTGAGAGACTCAGGCTTTTGGTGGAAAAGCCATACCTGAAAATGAAGAGTGAGTCAAGGATTTGTACTTCCTGCCCAAGGTGAGGGAGGCTGGTGGGGATTTACAACCAGCACTTCACAGAGCTCCTCAAGCAGATTTAAAATTCCTGTCAAGTATCATCAGTTAACAAACTGGCAAATACATTAAGAACTGATTAAAATCTAATTTCAAAGTACTTGCTTCTACAATCAATTTGTGTCTCTATAATAAATGCACACATTTCCGCAACATTTACCAAAACAAGAGCATCAAGTCAATTCCATTAATGTTTTTCTTAGTTAATTTCAATTTGGTCAAGATTTAATAATCTACTAAGTGCAGACATTACAGCGATAGGCCCTCAGATTTCCAAGATGAACAGCAGAAATCCTGAAGGAGCCCAGAGGAGTGAAGGAAACAAACACACAAAGAACTGGCCCTGATCTAGTGGGTTTCCAATGTATGGCGATTCTGATCTGGTAGTAGAGGCTGCCTTTGGGGGTCTGGGTTGAAAAATACTCGGAGATATCATTTGTGTACAGAAGAAAAGAGTATTATGATCCACTGCTAATGTCTGCCTTTGATGAGGAAGCCTATGCAATCCTTCGGCCATGTTTGATTTAAGGAAATTCACTGATTTCCCAGTAAAGTAACAACTTGATTCCCCCAAACCAAGAGAGGAAAGAGAGCCTTCACGGAGGGGAAGGGAACTGAACTTTAATTAGTCCTTTAAGGCTAATGTTCTATGATTAGCCTTAAAGTCCACTTTAGTTCTAAATAGGACCTTGATTGTTGACAGAGCTTGTTCTCATACTATCTTTTCTCTTGAAATCATTTCTAATACCAGGGAATGTAAAATTCATATCTGCTAAGACATACAAGCTATGAAAACTCAGTGACATACCAGTGCTTCTGTTCCATTATATGGTGTCAAAGTGAAAGCGTTTGCAAAAAAGCGAAGCTGAGGAAAAGAAAACAGCAGTCATTCTGAGGTGATGTATAATAGAGTCGTGAAATAATTATTCATTTAATTATTAGAAAAGTAAAACCTGCATTTCTGATTATCGAACACTTGTAAATATCCAAAAATAAAGATGCCAAAAAAAAAAAAAAAGATCACTTATTCTCTGTGACTCTGAGTATTTACATGAAGGTGTATTTACTTCTAACTTTTTTTCTACCTCCACCAGAATAGAAGGACTAAAAGCAGCATTTTCTAATGTGTGATGGAGGAACAGTAGTCCTGTGAGATGCTCAAAGCCCAAAATAAAACAATCAAAAAGAAACCAAAATGTGGTCCTTTGGTCAAACAATGGAAATTATCCACTTCTTGGAATTTTTAATGCACATGACTACACTGAAAACTCAGAGAAATCCAGTTTAACACTTCTTAACATGGGTTTCCCAGAATTACATGATTACAGAACTCTTAGGATCTCTGGTGCACAATCAAGGATAGATTCCTTTAAAGAGAAGTGGACACTCAGGTTGGTGCACTGGTAACACCCGATAGTCTGAAACAGAGACTACATATTAGGTGACTTCAAAAACCTCTAGTTAAGTGGATTTCAGGTTCAGTTTCTTAAATCATTTCCCAACCCTTAAACACACCTACTAGTTCCCACACTAAAGAGATTTTGTAAACTAAGAGATGTGTTCCTCACTCACCAGCCATATGATGGGTATCAACAGCATCCATACAAAAGGAGGTAGAATTCCATATGTCAGATTGGTCAGTACTGTACCCGGGCATACCACACTGGAATACAGACCCTAGGAGCATAGACAGGGGAAGCAATAAGACATCAATTGCATGTATAATGACTCGGTCCAGATATATGCTAATTAATAAGATACACGTATGAGCCAGGGAACCAGGGGATGAAGAATTTGTGCTCTGAGTTGTCCCTGAAGTTGGACTGATCATTTCTGTTCAAGAATCATATACAATGAACCCACTAGAAAAGATACTCAGGATGCAAAAATTAGTACGACAAAGTCTCTACTCTGGTGATACGATGTATCACATTGAGTGACTCCTGTATGTTGCACCCCTTTTGCGTCCCTGGGATGTATTCCACTTGATCCTAACGAGTAATCTTTTTTAATAAGTTGTTAAATTCAGTTTGCTAGTATTTTTGTTTTTTTGAGGATTTTTTCATCTATGTTAATCAAGGATATTGGCCTATAGTTCTTTTTGTGACGTCTCTTTCTAGTTTTGGTATGAGGGTGATACAGACTTTATCAGACCTATGGCATTTGTATACACACTAGATTATAGAACCACCAACAAGAATGAAATCCTGTGATTTGCGGCAACATGGACGGAACTGCAGAACATTATGTTAAGTGAAATAGCCAAGTACAGAAATAAATCTCACATGGTCTTACTCATTTGTGGGAGTCAAATACTAAAAACAATTGGTATCATCTTATTCTACCCAAGGTAGAATGAGAATTACTAGCGGCTGGGAAGGGTAGCAAGGAAGTAGCATAAAGTCAGGCTGGTTAATGGGTACAAAAAAAAATAGATAGTTAGACAGAATGAATATTTGATAGCACAACAAAGTGACTGTGATCAACATAAGTTAAGGTATACTTTAAAGTAACTAAAAGAGTGGAATT